GATAGAGTGACATAGGATAAGGTTATTTACTGTGAAATTGCTTATAATAACAAAATACTGAAAATAATCTAAGTGCCCATTAACAAGGTGACTGGTTAAATAAACTGTGGTAGAATTTTATAATGGCTTAATAAAGAATGAGGACAATTTCTATATACTCATAAGGGAAGGTCTTCAGGAAATATTTTTTAGGTGAAAAAAGCAAAGTTCAGAGTAGTATAAATACTATATTTTGTACTAAAGGGGGGATATAGGTGTTTATATTTATTTGTATTTGCATAAAGAAGCACTAAATTCATAAATAAGAAATCATAGGGGTGCCTGGGTGGCTCAGTCATTAAGCGTCTGCCTTTGGCTCAGGTCATGATCCCAGGGTCCTGGGATCGAGTCCTACATCGGGATCCCTGCTCCGCGGGAAGCCTGCTTCTCCCTCTCCCACTCTCCCTGCTTGTGTTCCCTCTCTCACTGTCTCTCTCTCTGTCAAATAAATAAATAAAATCCTAAAAAAAAAAAAAAAGATAAATGAGAAATCATAAAGATACCTATGGGGCAGAGATTAATAAGGTATAGGAGTCAGGAATGGGTGTAATGCTTATCTGTGTATACCTTTCTATGTAACTTTGACTTTGGAATCCAAAAAAATGCATCATCTCTTTAAGAAATTAAATAAAAACAAAAAGTACTTTGATGGAGTCATCACCTATCAAAAAATCTCCATTTTCAAGGCCTCTCCAATAAATCAGCCCACTTTTTAAAATTCTCTGATGTTTACAGCTTCTCTAATGACTGCAATTGGAAGAGCTTAACCTTCCACCACATTCTTCAAGCACTGTTTTGTATGGTTGACTTATATCAGGTGCTTTTTGTCCCTTGATCATCAGGGGTTGATCTCGACACTGATGCACTTGAGAGGCAGGAGGTTGGTGAAATGGGATGACTGAACAAGCTGGGGGCAGGCTCCCCAGCCTCCAGGGCACACAGTGATTGATAATCAGAGACTGAATAAACAGAGAGGGACACCCAGCCAGTGTCTGGAAATCGGATCCCTCACCCAGCCTGGCCTCCCAGCACAAGGGGGCAGCTGCCAGACTTTGTCACCATGATGAAAGGAGGAGCTGGGGCAAAGGGTCAAATTTTCAGGTGCTCCTGAGGGGAAGTGACATTTCTGCATTGTTATGGAGCAGGCGAGGCTTGTCCATAAAAAACAATTCTCTTCCACAGGATCAGAGACAGAAAGAGAATATTAGGCTGAAATGGAGTCTATCATTCTCACCTATAAAAGGTATTTTAGAAATTCACCCATGAATTTCTTACTCATATGACTATGGAATCATTTTTTCTCCTGTTGTCACATTCCAGCTGCATCCCCATCAACTTTCCACCTCATTTTTCACCGAATACCCTCAAACTTGTCTTCCTTCAAAGGAAGCTTGCAAAGAACTTCCTTTGCCCATAAAAATGTCTTGTATGTTCTAGCCCGTAAAAGCTGGTGATTGAATATCACTGTCAAATAGTTTTCATCCCTGTATCTTGCTAAGAGAGAAACATGCCTGCCGTGTTTTCCCTTTATTTCTCTTTCCGTTCTGCAGTAAAGCGCCTTTATTTTTTTTTAAATTTATTTGAGAGAGAGAGAGAGAGAGCATGAGCAGAGCAGAGAGGCAGAGGTGGAGGGAGAAGGAGAAGCAGACTCCCCGCTGATGCAGGGCTCGCTCCCAGGATCCTGGGAGCATGACCTGAGCCAAAGGCAGACGCTTAACTGACTGAGCCACTCACGCATCCCAGTAAAGTGCCTTTAGCCAGCTACTTCTTCCTATCTGGCACACTTTGTCTATAATCCATCCTCTTCATATATACACCAATTTTTCTATCCAATTGATATTTTAAATACCACTAACTGAGAATGCTTTTATGTGCTATGTTTTTCTAAACTCTCATGTATAATATTAGCTTGGATGGCAAAACCAGATGGGTTTATTCTTCATTACAATTTGCTCAGGCAGAGTGACTTTCATTAGGCTAATGACTGCAATCTTAAGGTAAATTTCCTGATATTTGTAGGGCCATCATCTGTAGTCCATATACATTTAGCAAAATGGACCAGCTGGTGAGTACAGCCTACAGTGTAGTTGGATGTGGGTCTCTCTTTTTAAGGCCCAGTAAAAGTCTGGAAGAGTAGAGAGTGCTTGATTTATTTTTAAGGAAAGTAAGGCCATCTGATAGATTTCCAGCTGAAAATCGGTCAAGGCTAGAGTTTGGTTCACTGAGTCCATGGTGCATGCCAATTCCTGTTTTCCCATGGCTGGCTCCCAGTCTTGGCTGAAAATTCTATGGCCTTTCCCATAAGGAGGGTAAGCTGGGACATAACACAAGGAGAGAAAGGCCTTCCAGGAATTAAATGAGGAACAAAATAGAAGGCCCCCCAGATCATGTCCAAGCTGCCATTCAGTGAGAGGCAAACACCCAATGCACAATACCTGACTTCCAATAGGGCAGGAAAAACCCCTCAGTGCCTCTACTGCTCATATTCAATCCAGATGTCTAAAAAAACCAGCAGGGTTAATGCTAAAAACTTGCCAAGGCAACACCAGATGCTTGTAACAGTTGGGACCACATAGAGGCTGAAGCAGAACAGATAATGATTTTTCCAAACTTCTCCGAAATAAAGAATGAGGATTCTTTGGGCAACACATTTGACACTGGAAACACCTGGCAGGGGAGGACTTTCATCGCCAGCCAGCACCAGTTTCTGCACTGGATTGAATACCTACTTCCTCTCTAGACATCTGGATTGTAATTAAGCTCACTGGCTCTTGCTACTATTTGGAAATCCAGAAACAAATGGTTGAATCTCGATTAAACACTAAATAGGTGGCTTTGCAGTCTTAGTCTTGTGGGCTTTGGTTTTATTACCAGGAGCAGTAATGCACCTTGTGACCTGGGAGGGCACTTGTGAGGGTTCCCTGTCAACGTTCGGTAATTAGCTGAAAGCAATTACAAGTGCTTTTTAATTATAGGTGCTCTAGTCCCTGTGACAGCTCAGAGTTCCAGATGCCTGCCAGAAAAAATGGTGATGATTGTGACCACATAATAGTATTCATTATATGGCAGATACTTATAGGCCTTATCTTACTAAATCCTCACCATAGCCCTTGAAATAGCTATAATTATTTTCTAGGCTGAAGCTTAGGAAGCAATTTGCCCAAAGTCACACAACAAAGAAGTTGGGAACTGGTCTGTTTGACTCTAGAACTCGTTCTGTGTCTTCTGTTTGTACGATTATTGTTGTTGTTGTTAAGGGCTCTGTTGTTGTTGTTCTCCCTCCCAAACATACACTCAGCACAGGGATGAATGTCCACAAACCAGTCACTGATCTCCAGTGTTTTATGATGGGACATTGGAAAGGATGGTATTTATTTGCCTTTGGAGCTAACTCAGGGGAAGGTGAGCTAATAAAAATAGAGAATGCATAACTGAAACTTCATATCTGAATAAATTCTAGAGACCTGCTATATAATATTGTGTCTATAGTTATGACTGTAATACAATACTGTATCGTGCAATTAAAAATTAGTTAAGAAGATTGGACTCAGGGCACCCGGGTGGCTCAGTTGGCTAGGCATTCTACTCTTGATTTCAGCTCAGGTCATGATCTCAGAGTTTTGAGATTGAAAACCATGTCAAGCTTTGTTCTGGGCATGGAGCTTGCTTAGGGTTGTCTCTCTACCTCTGCCTCTGCCCCTCCCCATCTCTCTGTCTCACTCTTAAAAAAAAAAAAAAAAGGTTGGGATCACATGTTTTAACCACATTTTTTTTTTTAAAGTAGGCCCCACGCCTAGTGTAGAGCCCAACACAAGGCCTGAACTCATGACCCTGAGATCAAGACCTGATCTGGGACCAAGAGTCAGACGCTTAACCATCTGAGCCATCCAAGTGCCCCTTAACCACAATTTTTAAAATATGATTTAGAAGCTAGACAATATCCAAACCAAATTGGCATTATCATGACATAATTATGACTGCTATGTGTTCTATTGCATCAAGATCACACAACAGAAAAATCTGTGAGATAATGTGTTATATATATTGAAGTTAAATGTTAACTAATGGGGAAAATATGTTTTATATTCTTTCCGAGGAAATGTATTTTATGAAAAATATGCAGGATCTGCAAATGGTGAAATATGAAGAACTTTCGTTGTAGTTAAAAAATTTAAAAAGTAGAGAATGCATGAAGGGAAAAAGTTTTTTTGTTTTTTTTTTTAAATATAAAGCCCCAGAGATGTAATAATTATAAAAGAAACTGGGTGAGTCAGATCTGGGGCTTCTGACTGTGACCAAACTACTCACAGTAAGTCTTGCAACATTCCCATGAGAACTGCAAGGAGTTAGCTGCCCAGCGCTGAGCTGTATACCTCATGAGCCTCACATACACCATTAATATGAAAAATTGTGAAAACTCTACATTCAGCCAAATTCTGCAGCTCTCCAAAAGGACTTGGGTGCAATTCAGTCCATATTTTCACTAACTTTTCATTTAGCTGAACAGCCTTTCTCAGCCCTCCCCACTCTTGCCAGAGTCAAGTGCCTCCAGGGGCCTGGCAGGTTCCCATCTGTGAGTGACTCACCTGCAGCATCAGGGTGGCAGGAAGATCAAACGATATTATTCACAGGTAAGAAGACTCTGGATCCAGAAGAAACTATCTACATACCTTCCTGGCTCTCCCACCACTGTATTACTTCTCCTGTTTTTCTCCGCCTCATTGACTTTCAAACCATAGGATGCTTGCATATTTTTTTCATTGTAAAGTGCCAAAAACTTACACCAGAACCATCCAGAATAGTTACATAAAGAGGTAGGTAAACTGACCTTTGTTACCACAAGGAAAGAGCCCTCTGAACATCTGAATTTTCCTCTTAATTCCCCGCTGACCTCTCCCATAAAGTTTGTCTCACCTTAGGTACTAGAAAAACAATAATGTAATTAAAATGTTTAAGAGAACCTAGCTGGAAGTGGTCAATTTTCATGGTGCTGTTGTTGACAGGGCCAAAGATGGTGATCACGGAGATTTTCCGGGTGGCCATCTTGCAGAAACTTTCCAGATACTCATCTCGCTGCTGCACATACATGTTGTTCTCAGCCTTCGGAGCTGTGATCAGCTAGAGGTGGGAGGAGGCAAGCAAACATCAATTCACAGTGATAGTTGTACACAGAGGCAAAATCCAAAGGGCTAATTTGGAATAGAGGGCTGGCAGTGACTAATGCTAAAGTCAACTAAACTAAAGTGTTCTATTGAATAGTTAGCATAACTGGCCCCAAAACGGTCCATTTGGAAAGGCCCCTGCTCCGAATACCTTGGAGTTTTCTATTCCCTCTAGTTCTCTTTAGTACTAGTCTTCATGGGTCCTAGCTTTCTCATTAGTGAACTCTGCACAGGAATACTTATTTTTACAAGGCTGTTGTGGACATTACATGAATACTGGACAGGTAATAATAGTGCAGTAAGTGCTATCCCCCTTCCTTCCTTTTGGTCTTTATTATCCTAATGGGCTGCTCTTGTGAACGGAGTGGTTACTACTTTTTTTTTTTTTTTTTTTTATGTCCCACAGGGTTGAGAGAGCTTCATAGCCATTGTAACTTCAAATCCATGCATAGGGGCGCCTGGGTGGCTCAGTCGTTAAGCATGTGCCTTCTGCTCGGGTTATGATCCCAGGGTCCTGGGATCGAGCCCCGCATCGGGCTCCCTGCTCGGCGGGAAGCCTGCTTCTCCCTCTCCCACTCCCCCTGCTTGTGTTCCCTCTCTTGCTGTCTCTCTCTCTGTCAAATAAATAAATAAAATCTTTAAAAAAAAAAAAAATCCATGCATAGATTCTATTTCATTCTTACCATACTTCACTAGGCAACCTTGCAGAAAGTTTTTAGGATGGACCTTTGGCCTATGTTTTGTCACACAGAATATATTCATTGTCACACTGGGCCTGTACAGAGCTCGTGGTAGACTTCTTTGACACTGGAGTCTGCCCCAGCAAGATGGATTTTGCTCTTTCGGTTCAGCCTTCTGTAATTTAGGCCTGGCATTTTTCAATGAGCTCCTGTGTGTCTTTTAAGCTCACTGTGAACCCCAGACTGAGCAAAAGAAAGAGACGCTATAGTCACCAGAGTCATCTGGAAAAGCATATTTTATAATTTTGGATAAAAGGAGGATATCCTTCATTTTTAGGGCTCCTGTTGAATGCTCTAAGACTGTCTCAATATTTCCATCTAACTGGATATAAAAGCTTTTCTACTTCCTTGATTATTTTTGTAGGCTTTTCCTGAGCCTTCTCCAATTTTACCAGGTTCTTCATGAGCAGAGACCAGAGCTAGGTACCACACCCCACGAGTGGGTGGGCATGGTGCTGTTCACCCTGGAGGTGGAAGAACGTGGAATTTCATTCTGATGACGAGCAGGTCTTTGCTGAGCTCTCTGACCTTAAATAGCTCACTAGGCTGTTGTCTGTATGAACACTGTCTATTCACCCTTTGCTAACTCATCACTTGGCTTAGAGACCAGCCTCTATACACTTTCTCAAACCTGACCACATTCAAATTTATCAGCCACTTTTCTTCTTACCATCTAACCTTATAAAATATTTCTGAAATTTGTGGCTATTAGCTTGACATTTTTCAGAGGGCAAGTCTCCATGTTGTTATTGTTAATCTCTTCCAAACACTTTATCGAAATGGTTAATAAATCTGCTCCCAGCTTGATACTGCTATTTTTCCTTCTCTGTCAGAGATGTGTTTATTGTTTCCTGCAGGCTTTCCCTTTTAAAAATTCCCTGTGCTATACAAAATACTATCCCTTGTGGAAATCAAAATGTTCAAAAAGTTCAATAACTTTTGAGCAGAACATTAACGAAGATTTTTCTGGGATGAAGCTATTTTTTTCTCAGGTTATTATTTATTTAAGTGGTCATGATTTTGTTTATTTTTGATTTTGTGTTTATATGCCTGTTCAGATGGACAGGGTGGGTAGAACATGCTGATTTTAGAAATGTAATTTCCCAAGAGAAAAAATAATATTTTTCCAAATTTATTCATTGATTCATACTTAGCCTTAAAAAAAGATTTAAAGTGGCTATAAAAAATACGGTAATAATATTTTTGCTTTGTTTGTTAGTTTTTAATTGGTTTTATGACATTTGAACATATTTCTTCAGGTTCTGATGGTGGCCCATATCTTGGAGCTTTATTTTCAGTTGGTATGTTTTAGGTTTTTCTTTCTGGCCATTCTTTGCTCACAAACACACTATTTTGAAATAAATGAATGTTTAAGTGAAAGCACAAAGTAGCCAGAAACAAAGGGAAGATTTAGTGGTAATGGTTTTGGATTCTCTTTTCTAAATGAAGGATATACCCAAATTAGAATATATTTAGAGGAGTCTCTAGGGCACAGCTGCCCATGTGCTAGATGACTGATAATTACCTGTCTTTGTAACTTCAAATCCATACATAGATTCTACTTCATTCTTATTATACTTTGCCATGGACCTTTACAGCACATGGACAGACCATGATAGGACAGGATTTCAAGAGTCCTCACAGCTCTCTCTGGTCTGTTTCTCCCTCTTGTGAATAACAGAACTTCAGACAACATAGAATCATACAGAACCTCATCCTCCCCTGCCTGGCAGCTTCTCTCAGTACCTCTGAACACAGTAGCCTTAGGCCATTGGATACCCAGTGGGAATCAACATAAATAAATAAAGAGCCCTGATGTTTATTTTCACCTCAGGACCTGTGCCCTGGGATGCCTTAACCTACCCGTGAGGTGACATTTATTTTGCATGACTCACTTCCTCCCTCCACAACCTGGCCCCAGGCTCTCTCTTGCTAACCTTTCCTCCTATTCCTCCCTTACATGACCTCTTCCCTCTGTAGCCAGACTCATCTCCGTTATGAAATGAAAGGAATCTGAGCAGAGGGGCACAGAGAAAGGGTGAGTGTAGTCAAGGTGGGAGGGACTGCATTTGCTCCTAATTCAACGCTGGCTACCTTGTAGCCTCAACAAAGCCACTTAACTTTCTGAACCTTGGCTTTTGCATCTTTAAAATGGAACAACTTTCCTGACAATCGTAGTGAGAATCAGGGAGAAAAAAAAAAAAAAAGTATATGTACCCGCTGTGTGCACACAAGCACCATATGTGTATGTTGCCTCTGAAGAGTTGACTCTCTTTCCTTCCCTTGCCTTGGCCCCTATCACCCCTTCCACCCAGAAAGCTCTCCCCTACCCTCCACCTTAACTGCATGCAAGCAGTCTTCAAACGCAGCATCCTCCTTAACATCCTTCCTAGCCCACGATGGTCACTTTCTCCTTTTAATTGCTGTTCAAATACTGGCCGATGTTCCTCAGTTTCCATAGATCACTCCAGCCAGAGGAGAGGAGGAGTGGTCCCCTGCTTAGGAATGTCTAGATGCCGTCCGCGAACCAGCTGCTAAAGACCCCTCTTCCCTTGCATTTAATCTGTTGCTCGAGCTTGCATCAGGGACAGTAGAGGAGGTCGATCACATGAACATATTTCAGCCACTCTCTCCCTGTGTGCTGACACCTCCGTCCCATTCGTTGTCAAGTTTGGCAGTATTTTCAACGGTGTTTCAAATGGTAACCGTGTCCAATCCTCTCTTCCTAAAAAGAGCATCCTAGAACTTCTCAGTAAACATTATTGTCTGACACTTGGCCTCCTTCCAGTTTGGCGGTGATAAATCAGGGCATGTATCATGGATTCAGAATTGTGTTGTGGTTATTTTTTAATGTTTCTATTCCAACTGGTGTGTTGGCACAAGGAGCCTCCAAATATAATGAAGTCTGTTTGCATAAGTAAAGGGAGCAAACAAGAGTGGGAAGATGCTAGGGGGAAGATATTTTAAGTCTCAGCTTATTCTAAGCACTGTGTTAAGCTCAAAACACTGGATTTTTACAGGATTCTGAAAAATAACATCCAAGCTAGTAGTACGTCTTAGTAAAGCAGAGCTTTATAACCCTTTCTAAAATTAAACCAAATAAATAGATTGTTGTCCCAATATCCAAAGTTCTGAGGTAGGGTTAAAAGTAAGAACCTGGTTGAATTATAGGAAATTCAGTCTCCAGGTGCTTAAACTTGATCTTGAGTCTATGTAATTCCACGTTATGAGGACTCTTGCTAGCTGACAAGTAGGTACATCTCAGGGCACAAAATGATGGCTTTTCAGCTCTACTCCATATAGTCCATCGTTTTAGCGATAAACGGCTTTTCTCTATTCTTACTGTTGTCAGCCCCAAACTGACACCAATCAGTCTGAGGGGTTAAGTCAACTGGGATTCAATCTATTGTTCTCGACTGACCCCCAGGCAAGCCGGAGGGCTCAGGTGCAGAGAACCAGCTGGTCATCAAGGTCGGAAACTCTACACTGTTGCTTAGCACAAAATGTTGACAATTGATAGACCTTATCTGAGTAATTTAAGTTTAAAAGTGAATTTATCTGAGTAATTTAAGGTTATCTGAGTAATTTAAGGTTAAAAGTGAATTTTAAAACATCTGTATTGATTAACAGGATGATTTCTCAGTTTCTCCTTCACTTTCTGGCATATGCCCATTGAAGGCTCACACCCATAGAATGCAGAATGGGGGGAGTGGCTGGAGTATGAATTTTAAAATCAAACGGACCCAAGTTCTAATTCTGACTTGGCCATGTATTAGCTGCACACCTTGGGAAACTTCTCAATTTCTCTAAGCTTCTTTCCTTGACTGTGTAGTGGAGTTAATGAGTCCCTCCTCATGGGGTTGTTATGACAGTTAAACCACACAGCTTTGGCAAAGCACCTTGCAGGATGTGCCTTTTTCTGTTTATAGGCTGAGAGGAAGGGGGTTTGAAGGACTGACCTCTGGTCTCAGAATAGGACACCTGGTTCTATCTGTAGGTCCTGGAAGGCCCCTTGGATGCTGTTCACCATGGTGGCCATTGTTTCTCTAAAAAATGGATTAAGTAGCGGTTACATGATGTTTTCACATCTAAAGAATGATACAGATAAATGTGAAGCCCTGGGGGTTTATGATACATCGTAGCTGGTTACTGAGAAACTGCAAAGAGGAGCTAAAAGTCCTGCATGACTTCTTGGAATGTAACCTCGTTTCAGTTTGAACACACTGGGTTCGTTGAGGCCAGTTGGAGGTATATGTTGTCAGCCCCCCCTTTACAGCTTGGAGAATGTTAAGCCTTAATGAATATTAATTGAATCGTGGCACTTCCTGAATAACATCAGCATGTATAGTAGGAAAAAATGAGTGGAAAAAAGATAAAAGGCACCAACCAGCTCTTTCACCCAGAAACCCAAGTCTCCTCTCTGCCTGGTGAAACAGATTTCTTTTCTCTCCATCTTTTGATATTATATCATGTTTACTTCATCTTGTCTTTTCTAATCCATTCCTATTTTAGATATTATCTCTTTAGGAAATACATTTCTGATATGATCATCAGCTGGGCACATGTGGGACGGCGAGACTGAACTGCCTCTTGTTGGTACTTCCTTCTTAATAACAAACTTGGTTCTCTTGCCAGCCCCAGAGAGCAATGCTGCCATGAACCATCCCAGCTGGTTTCTGGCTTGCCTCACATGACATCAGCAGAGGCTGTCGTTTGAATTTCATTTGCTAGAAATTTATGATCAGGGATACTGTTTAAAGCAGAAAATACCCAGCTGGGCTTTCAAATCCCTGACTAAGGGAGTAGAGTGAAAGGGGAGAAATGAAAGGCATGACTAATATCAGGGATAGAGTATGAAAACCTCTTTCTTTGCACTCACAAACCAGGGGTAATGGAAGTATTTGCCAGATGGGTGCACAATTACAATCCTGACATTTTACCCATGATTATTTTCCCCCTGCTTAAAACCTGCCCATGAAGAACACTTCGCCCGCCCTGTTGGCTAAATGGCCAGGGTTGGGTGATGTGCTTTAACAGGCTGGACAAAGTCCTGGGTCCTCGGGAGGAGCACAGTGCGCGAAGGCTTGCCTACACCTCAAAGGGAGCAGTTGGCTCCCTTAGGTTCTGTAACAAACATTTAAGTACCAGGTAGAATTAATTCTCCTCTGAAATGAATGGTTCTTTTGGCTCCGACTAAAATATTCTCATTTAAATTTATGTACTCTGAAAATAACCAAGTAGCTGTTAAACTACTCTAGCAGACAGCCTATCCTCTGCTAACTAAGTTATATACTTTAAGGCTCTGGTTAAAAATGACTAAAATATACAAAAAATGCATAACAACACACACACACACACAAGCCTGTAGAATCAATGAAAACTTACGTTTTGTTCTAATGCATAGGGGCACCATTGTGGAACAGCTGAGAGAATTTTGGGACGTGCCCCACCCATGATAAACACCACCAGGGACTCTGCTCTGAGTGACATTTCAAATACATACTTAAACTTTTTGAAACTGCTAAAGATAAATGGACACCCGAACCTCTCTGCTCAGATCATTAATCCAAATTTAGACCAGACGGGAAAAACTAAAAGCCCCTTTGAGAGACGCCTTGAGAGAAGAGTGCCTATCTCTGCGGGTGGGGATAATGCAGGGTGCAGGCACCTCGTGCCTTTAGTAGGACAAACTCTGTCCTCAGTGGCATGAGCTGTCTCCTTCCCACCCATGTATCTGAAAAAAATCCTTCCTCACTCACACTGCCTGACATTAATTTACTGATCCTTTTCTCTGAAGTGGTTGTACTGTACCTTCTCCTCCTTGACAGCCTGGAGTAAAATGACAGCATTAAGAAGGGGTAGAAATCTTGGAACGGCCCTAAAAGAGGGGGCAAGGAGACATGAAGAGGGGAAGAAGGAACCATTCTCACACGGCTGATGAGAACTGCCCTTACATTTAAGGTGGGGTTTCTTTCTGCCCAAAGGCTTCCTTTGGCTTGACTAGATTCTTTAATTATTCTTGGGATGGAGGCTAGTAATGGGCCCAAAAGAGAGAGCTCCTGAGATGGACCTTGACTTACTCTGTATCAGTGGCTTCAGAAACAGGCAAAGTGGGAGCAAGACTTGCTTGTCTCCTTTCTCTCTCTCTCTCTCTCTCTCTCTCTCTCTCTCTCACACACACACACACACACACACACAGGCACTCATTTGACAGAGGCTCAGGAGAAACTGACATCTGTCTCTAGCATTTTGGAAATTGGAACAATTAACCCAGTTCCCCACGCTGTCTTTTTGGCCTCTTACTGTGAGTTGGGCAGTGATGGGGGAGGCAGTCTTTAAGGGGAGAAGACTTCAACCAGCTGGTTTTAAAGTATTCGTGAGGGGGCGCCTGGGTGGCTCAGTCGTTAAGCATCTGCCTTCAGCTCAGGTCACGATCCCAGGGTCCTGGGATCGAGCCCCGCATTGGGCTCCCTGCTCGGCGGGAAGCCTGCTTCTCCCTCTCCCACTCCCCCTGCTTGTGTTCCCTCTCTCGCTGTGTCTCTCTCTGTCAAATAAATAAAATCTTTAAAAAAAAAAAAAGTATTCGTGAGGGTCACGCCAACAAGGACCCTTCCCCACTCCCAGTCATACCCACTCCCCAACCAGGCTGCCTTCCTTTCCTTTTTGAGGCTTCCACTCTGATAGAGACCTAATTAGGAGAAAAAGGAGAAACTTTGCCATTTCCCCATACACATGCTTCTAGTTCCTAAGCTCATGAAGAGATACATCCTCTTCCTAAGTTGTGACCAGAGTCAATGCATGCCATTTTAGGAACTCCTTTGTTCTTCTTTTATTCTTTGAACTTGGTAAAAGGGAGCTCTTACCCAGAACTATCCGTTGGAAGAGAGCTAAGGATGGGGGATGGGTACTGACAAGTTTGGAAAAAGCTGTGCACAGAGGCTTCCCTGGGCTTATGTCTAAGGGTTCCCGGCCATTGAGTCTGGACCTCAGGGCCACGAACCTGTGTGGACAGAGTATGGTTCATAGAGCACTAAACCAAAAGGAGCTACTGGCCTAGCTGCCCTTTCTGGATGAACCTCCTGATCTTCTTGACATGGCACGGATTCAGCCACAGTCTGCCATCCAGCAACATGATTGTAGAAAAATAACGTAAAGCAAACATTACCATGCCCTGCCTCAGCCCACAGAACAATGCTGGGGAGAAGATTACTTACAAGAAGCCTTCGTTTGCCTTCAAAGGACCCCAGCAGATTGGTCACCGACTTCCTGGGACTCTGAGCGAAGTGTTTGGTGGTGGGTTTCAGGTAGCCCTCCTGCTCTGTTTTCCCTGCTTTCTTCTTCTTGCTCTTCTCTTTCTCCTGCCTGCTCTTTTTCTCAGCCTTCTCCTTCTTCACCTGCCTTTCACTCTTGAGTAACTTGTCTGCTTTCTCATTTTTCACCTTTTTTTTCTTCTCCTTCTCAGGTTTCTCAAGCTTTTCATGCTTTTTCGATTCCTTTGCTTTTTGGGGGGGAATATTCCCCACCTGCAACTCCTCCTCCAGCTGAGAGGCAGTAGGCCTGCTGAGGTCATACTTACTCTCATACTCATTGCTAAGAATTTTGTCCTGGGCTTTCTTTTTGGGAGGTTTCCCCTTGGCTGGCTTGTGAGGACCTGGCACCACATTTGGGTCCCGGTGGCCGTGCTCCCGCCTGTCTGTGCGGTTGTCCCGGAAACGTCCCGCGCCCGCCCTAGTGCTGTGCTCTGAGATGGTGGTGGGAGGGGCAGCCGTGAAGCTCTCGAAGCCGGTGGCCTTGCCGGGCCTCCTCGTGGTCTGCAGCCTCTCCCTGTGCTGCTCCTTCCTGGGCTGAGGGTAGAGATTCTCTGAGGCCCCGGGCTCCCTGGCAGGGGCCCCCTCTGCCGTTGCGGGGGGCCTATGGGCATCTGAGGAGGGGTGCACCCTGGGGGTCCAGGGCTTCTGGGTGGTGGGAAAGGCCGTGGTGGTTGTCAGTCTTGCAGCTGCAGTTACCACCCGAGAGGTGGCCCGGGTCACGGTTGGGACTGCAGCAGGAGGCAGGGTGGTGGCCCTTGGGGTTGGAGGAGGCGGGGGAGGGGCGGCCGTGGTGGCGGCCGGCTTTCTCAGCACCTTCACCCGACTCTCTCTGGTCGGTGGGACTTGGGCTCTCCTCTGGTCGTCCTTTCTCTTCTCACTGCTCACGACCGGCTTTCCTGCCCCTCCGCCATTGTTCCCCTCCTCCACCACCTGGCCCTCGACCCCAGAGGCCTTACATTTTTGGACAAAACCCTTCTGCCTGATTTTCTCTATCCTGCGGATGGGGCCTTGGTCGATGATCTCATACAGGGCCTCCAGCCTGACGGGATAGGGATAGCGCTCCTCCACCTGCAACGTCTTCTTCAGCAGCACCATGCCAAACTTCCCCTTCTCCAGCTTCAAGAAGCTCAGCAGCTTTGGGATGAGGTTGGGGTCCAGGGGCTGCTCCAGGACCCGGCCCTCACTGGTGATCCTCCGCACCTTGCCTCCTTCCTCGCCTGCCTGGTGGAACAGCACAATCTGCTGGATGTGCCTTTCCGCCAGCTCGCAGTACACATCGTCCTTCAGGAGGCTCATCATGAGCCGGTAGTAGCCCTCCGAGGCGTGAGGGGCCGAGATGACCCAGACCCTATTCTTCCCTGCAAAGCTGGCAAGGATGTTGGGAGAACTGGACCCAGAGGGGAAACGCAACATTCTTGAGCGAGCTGAGGACCCCTCATCTCGGATCATGTCACGGGGAGAGCTCGGGGCTACTGGTCTCTGCTTGGGTCGCACTGGGGCCCCACTGATGTGCTGTGGGGCTGGCGGCATGGTTGTCGCGGGAGCTACTCTCAACACCGGCACACTCCTCCTTCTCTGGAGAGGCGGAAGGTTTGGTTCTTCCAGAGTGCTTCTCTCAGTTCCCTGAGACCTCCCCGTGTGCCTCAGAAGCCGAGCTGGCCTTCTGCTGGCTGGGGAAACCAGAGGTGCTTTCCGCCCTCCGTGGCTCCCCCTGTCCATGGCGTGGAGGTGGGGTTCTGAACCACACACCAGCCACATTGCCAACAGCATGGTAAAACTGAGTCCCATTCTCCATGTCATTGTGCAATCCGCTTTGAAAGGCAGCAGGGTCAAAAGACAGAAAGGGAGAGGGGGAATGGAAAAAAAAAAAAAAAGAAAGAAAAAGAAGAAAATCATTTAATTGCAAACAGAACTGGGCATTTTCTCTTTCTCTGTCTTGGCCAAGGGGGTGGGGGAAGGGGTGGTGAAAGAAGAAGCAAGGAGGTCAGGGAATGGAAAAAAAGGATGAGATCCTGTTGCTTTTAAACCCCTGTAATTTGTTAGTGCTTAACAGAGACAGTTACATTAAGCAGGAAACCCAGCTCCGTTCCCCATTCAGCGTGCTTGCCCTGTTTCCACCCGGTTCTCTGATGCTCCAGAGAAAAGGCACACTGAGCATATTAATTATGACAACATTCCTGCTTCATTTCTTCAAATGAGCAACCAAGAAACAAACAAACCCACCAAAGACAGCAAGGATTACACACTTACATCGTGGCTCATGGAGATGGAATGTAGAGGGTTTAAAAGGCAATCTGAAGTGTGGGTCCCAGGACAGTCTCCTAGATGAAATACTTTTCCTCCCAAGCCTCGTTCTCCTTCGCCCGGCTGAGCAGTACAAAGGGGGGGCGGGTGCCGCGCCGGCTCCCAAAGGCGCCACGGACCCACAGCCTGTCCTGACCTGAGGGCCGGGCTGCTTTCTTCTTTCCTCTGGCTGTCTTCTCACCTTCTTGACAAGTAGGATGAGGGGAAAGGAGCTGTCCTTGTGAGTCTTTGCATCTCCATTTGTCTGTAGTTTCTGCTCGTGTGTCTGTGTGTGCCAGTCCCTGTGTGCGGACAACACAGGGCACCCCTGAAAGTGAAGTCCCAGCTCTCCCTGACTCTTGCTCTTTCTCTCTTTAGAGTTCCAGGATCCTTCTTATCACCCTTTCCCCCACAGTCTGGCTGAGTCCCTTTGTTTCCAAGCCTGAAAGCACTGGGATTAATATGTTTTCCAGGCTGAGAGAAAACACAGGAATGTGATGTTGAAAAAGGACTTTTTTCTTTTCCTGTTCTTCTCCCCTCCTTTATTTCTCCCCACCTTTTTTTTTTTTTCCTCCTCTTTTCCTTCTCCTTCTTTTTCTTCTTCCTCTTGCCTGGACCCGGTCCCAGAAATGCCAGGACAACCTCAGTTTTGATCCAAACCAAACTCAAACAACAGCAGCCGCTGGAAATCAAAGAAACTTCACTAAGAATTTAACAGATCAGCAAAACACCACCTCCTTCCCACTTCAGCACGTTGAGAGTGGACTCGGTGGGGAAGGAGAGGGCTGTTCTTTGGGGTGGGGGAAAAGTTTTGAAACACTACACATCATCATAAATCACTTTAGAATAGGATGGCTGAGGACTTAACCCCTTCCATACCAAGGAATCAGGATACTTTCCCTTCCTGTCTGGACTCACACTGCACGTCGGGAAGGGAAAATTCTCAGGTTTCTACGTCTGGCTGCTTGGTTTTCCTAGGGACAGATACTCATTTGGGTCAGGGTGCTTGGCTGTACATCCATGGACAGTATATATATATTTCTAGTTCCGTGTGTATATTTTTATCTCTTTCTCCCTGTTTTATGTGTTTAGTTTGAGGTTGGAAAAGCCCATGGAAAACATGACTGGATTGTTTTTATTTTATGCTAATTGGGGATCATATTACTGAGTTCTTGTTCCTCGTTTTCTCTTTGGCCTGGAAGGAAGTTGGGAAAAGGTTAGAAATGGCAGGCGATGGTTGCTGTTCCCCTGAGACTGTGGCTGGTCATTACATCAGGGGAAGGGCATTATGACCTCCAGCCCTGGGCTCTGGCTAGAGATGGTAGGCTAGGGGCTTCCTCGGAGGACATGAGTGTGTGAGAGGGTATGGGGGGAAGTGCAGGGCTGTGCTCTCCAGAGGCTGCAGGAGTCTGGAGGGTTTTAGGCAATCCTTAGAAGTCACCAGATCAGGTTCCAAAGGGGAGACTGAGGCAGCTGTGTGTATCCACCTCCTGGGTCTGCCATGGGCATTCGGCTTTTGGTGGTGAGAGTACGTGTCTCAGGGTATACAGATATTTCTTCTAGTCTCTGAAAAAATATCACTCAGTCGGTATTAATTGCCACAGACAGTGGTGAACCAGGATTCTCAGAAGGCTGCTTCGTTAGTCCATGTTAGTGGCTACTCTCATTGGCTAAAACCTAGTTCCTAATTGCTACTCCTTGATCAGCCCCATCTCTGACTGGTCACATTTACCTTTCCTTCACATAAGATCCCAGCACTGAATGAAAGACCTGTAGGGGGAGTAGTGTAGGCTTCTCAGCCCACCGCTTGAAGACCAAGGGGTGCCAAGAGGAAGGGCTCTCCCGTGGAGCCCTTTCTGACACTTGTGAGTACAGTAACAAAGGTGGACTTCAGACAGAGACCCTCGGTCCGCTGGAGTCGGAGAAGACATCCCCTTTCATGGGTTCACTTGTTCAGTTGATCAAATAAATGCCTTCTGCTAAGTTGGACAGTCCTAGATGTTATTTCCTTCCTCACATCATAATGTATTCTACGCTATCCTTTACTGAGCCTTCTTCTTTCCTTCTCTTTTCCTTTTGTCTTTTCCCTACTAATAACACTACCATTTATTGAGCATTTTCACGTGCATCTCTGGGCTTGGTGCTTTCATATATTCCTTTATCTATCCCTCACAGCATCTCTTTGAGATAGGTGGAATGATGCCCATTTTACAGATGAACGTATTGAAGCTTAATAAGTTTAAATAAATGGCCTACCATTACACAAATCGTAAGTGGTAGCTCCGAAATTTGAGCCCAGGTTTAGAACTACCTAGAAAGCATGTTATCCTGTCCCCATCTTTCATTTTCTCTCCATGTCCTCTTTTTTCTCTTCCTTCAACTCCTTTTTTGTGTTTCTAGTATTCACAGAGAAATATTATTTGTTTGTTCAACCAGAGGACTTATAATTTTAGAGCCCTACTCTCTGGAATAACTGCATAACAGTACTTTTTGCCTTTCTTAAGAGGTCCTTAAAGTCTTTTATCCTTTTCCTTAAATATCCCATGACTTCCACCAACCTGCTAATGATGTGTACAGCATTCGTCACCTGTGCACTGGTAGAGTTGAAGTACAGTCAGTTTTGCCATGGAAATTTGACCCAGAGGGGAAGCCAGCCCAACCTTGAGCGGTGTGTGTCTTCCTGGGGCCCTCAGGCTTTCTTGCCTTCTGCGAGCTTCACTAGATGGCGCACTAAACACATAGGCAGGAGAGGACCGACTACACCACCTCCGCGTCTCCCCAGCACTCCCCATCTGCACAGACCTGCTGGCAAAGCGGGGGATTTTACACCTGTTCAGAACTTTTCACTCTCTATACCTAAAGCCTTCCCTGAGACCTCAGAAGTCCAGGGAGCACATACTTAATAAGAGCGATTAGGTAAGCAGGTTAGCATCCACACCTTTCCAGAGAACCCTATAATGATATATGGTTTGCAAAGATTCTCAATTTCTAGTCCAAGATTTAAGAGCTCTGTATTAAAAAGTCTCCCACTTAGATCTTTCCATTTTTTCCCCCTGTAACCTAAAAAAGAGGCATTAACCCATTAGCTGAGAAGAGAGATTTGGAAGAGATGGATGTTGCGCCAGAGAAAGGTAAAAGGAGTAACATTTGAAAGTAGATTTTAGAAATGCCAGCTTGGGAATTCACTGGTTGAAACTGCCTGACACTGGTTGCACAGTGATTTGGAAGAAGGAAAGGAAATGAACGTGCAAAACAGAATGGCCCAGGGATTAGAGACGCGAGGATGGGGGTAGTTATTTGATGGAAGTTAGAATAAATGTAAGGAGGCATCCAGAAGGAGGTGTGCTCACTGGTCAGCTCCACACTGACCCAAGGCTTCAGCAACCTGGGACGAAGACTCCGGGAAATAGCAGAGCCATTTTATCACATCTTTGTGACAGAGATGTGGAATTATACATTGAAGATTGCTGTGTGCTTTTCCTTTTCACTTGCAGACCTTAATCACAGGTTCAGTCTTAAGGATGAAGACCACGTTTATGTCCTTCGGAATGAAAACGAATTCTCCTTTTTCTCAGTATTCACAGGGTAGGACAATGGAAGAAATATAAACAACAGGGTCCAGGGGAAAGCCAGCAATGTGTTAATTCAGGATGGTGCCAGCCCAGAGAGGCTCTGAGAAAGGCTAATCCCCAAAAAGAAACACTCTGAAATTGTTCCTGGAATGTCAACGGGGTCACATGTTTAATCCAAAATTGAGGAATATGTGTATTTAAAAAAATAAATAAAAATAAGAAATACTTGACAGGATAATGGCCAAAACTATTGAGAAACAGTTATAAGTATATTTTTTATTCATTTATTTTTAATTACTTTAGAATTTGCTGGGGTAGGGGGTGTGGCGTAAAGGCACTTTTCTTTCCCAAGTGGAAGGTTATTTAGTTAAGAGAATGTTGAACTCTTAATTAGAACAAATTGAAAGATCTTGCCCTGGCAGAGATTAAGGAACTATGTGAATAACCTAATGGCTCATTTTAAATCTTTAATATCAATGATTTGAAATTTATATCTGTACTGGTTGCCATTCTATCTGTGCAAGAGGTGTAAATTGGTGGACATATCAGTTTGCTGCTTAGGGGGTCAGTTCAGGGTTGGGAAGGGATAGACTGTACTGTGTTCAAAGTCTTAACCATTGGCCATTCAATGCATGCAAAAGATTTCTATCAATCAGCTTTAAAGAGGCAAATTGAGATTATGCTTCTCTGCACACCTGTGGGTATTGCCAAGAAGAGATTAATGATCCATTTTTTTTCTCCCTTCTTTCAGCCATTCTCTCACATGCTTGCCAGGAGTGCAGACTTTGTATCAAGAACAATACAGAACCAGGAAGTCTCTTCCCCTTAGAAGTTCACAGCCCATTGGAGAAGATAAACAATTATCAATTATATTTCCACAGCAGTACAGCCAACTTTCTCATGTAAAAATTCAGTGCTGACTATGGTTGCAGCCAATATGCATGGAGACCAGTCCTGTTGGAGACATTGCTCCTTTGATTCCTGGAGCAGGCTTTTCCCCAGAAAGAGGCTTCCCATGGCAGCTACCGCGTGGCACTGGAAAATCTTGTTTGGTATGAGAGAGAGAGAATGAGAGACAGAGAGCACGAGAGGGAAGAGGGTCAGAGGGAGAAGCAGACCCCCTGCTGAGCAGGGAGCCCGATGCGGGACTCGATCCCGGGACTCCAGGATCATGACCTGAGCCGAAGGCAGTCGCTTAACCAACTGAACCACCCACGCGCCCTACATCATTAGTTTTTGATATAGTGTTCCATGATTCATTGTTTGCATATAACACCCAGTGCTCCGTGCAGAATGTGCCCTCTTTAATACCCATCACCAGGCTAACCTATCCTCCCACCCCCCTCCCCTCTAGAACCCTCAGTTTGTTTTTCAGAGTAGGATGGCCATTTTAGATAGGGGTCAAGCGTAATGGTCCTAAGTGAAGCTAGGGGAGCGAGACACCCAAGTACTGGGGGAGTGGAAGAACATTCTAAGTGGAGGGAATAGCAGGTACACAGGCACTGAAGCAGATTCTGTTACACAAGTGTGTCACAGAAGAGCAATGTTTGAAGGATTTTAAGCAAGATGTGGCCAGAACTGATACATAATTTGAAGAGATCACTATGGGTACTACATGGTGAGTATAGAATGACAGCAGGGAGACCAGTTAGGAAGACATTGTCCTAGAGCAAGTGAACAGTGTGGTAGCTTAAATTAGGCTGTTAGCAGGAGGGTGGTGTAGAAAAGCCATCCTTCTTGGTATATACTTTAAAGACAGAGCTTATATGAGTAGTTTGTGGGGGAGACAATCAAATGTTTTGTTTGAAAATTCTGTTAAGACGCTGTGGTACAGATGTTGAGTTGGCAGTTGGTACATGAGTCTGGACGTCAGGGAGGACTAAGGCTGGAATTATAAACTTGGGAGGCTGTTTGAAGCATGAGGCTGGAAGAAATCACTTAAGGAGTGAGTACACGTAGAGAAGAAGAGTCCTGGGGCCTGAAGCACAATGTTTAAAAGATGAGAAGAGGAGTCAAGGACGCGGAGGAGGAGCAGCTGATGGGGTAGGAGGAAGGCAAGAGCACGTGCTGTTTTCCACAGCTTGAATCACATGTTGCCTCTGACCCTTTCTCAACAGGTCCTTACTGCATGTGTCCACATTCAGCTCATTTCTCAGTGTCCAGGCCCTGTACTATCTCTTCCACAGTGTTTTCTGAGAAGCCCCAACACAAGCCATTCTACTTTCTCTGAGAAGGTATTCTGCAGAACATCACTCTTCTAATTGTTTTGTACTTCAAATACAGGTTCTTGTTCTTCCAAACACATCTTTAACCTTCTGAAAACATGGAGTAACCCTACTCTTAT